CACTGTTTTGGCAGATGCCTTTGAGGGGAACATACGCGGAGGGACAGGGAAGCCATGGAGCGCTCGTGGGCAGTGGGGCAGCGGCTGAGGGTGACAGAGGGAAGCACATGACCGAATGGGAAGAAATAAAATGGGCCAACCTGACCTAAAGGGGTTAAGACCCCTCAAACCAATACCAGTGGTTTTGCAAGGCTCCCAGGAGACCTCAGCTCTCTGGGGCGGCTCCCAGGGGCGGGGGAGGGCAGATCTCAGTACTGCTGGCCCCTGTGGTTTCCAAGGAGACAGGACGGTCACAGCCTGGTGCTGGAAGATGGCAGATGTGTAAATATTTGTTGATGAAGAGATTATAGCCCGTTTCTTTCAGAGTGGTAAGGAGAGGGGGCCGCAGCACCGGGGAGAAGCTGGAGAAGGAACTCCTGGATGTTTCCAGAACCCCATTTATGCAGCTTCTGCTAATGGAAAACTAGTTTGCTCTCCTGAACAGGCTGCAAGGGCAGACCTTCTCCCAGAGGGCATTCTCCCTCAGGCCAGGAAATGCCAAGAGGCCAATGGGAGAAGGGCAGGCTCTGCCGCTCTCCCACAAGCTCCTGCGGAAAAGGGCGGGGCACTGTGTTTGCAGGGGAGGGAACCTGGGTGTGCCGTCCCAGGGGGTCTCAGAGTCGCCACAATGCCCATCGATGTGAACTATAAATAGGGTCCGTTAAATAAGTTCAACATTACTACTTTAAACTGAAATATTTTAATTCACTTTGTTCAAAGTTGGTACAGACTGGTTTCCCAGAAAGCCAACTGTGAGATAGACAATGTTGTGCAAGAGGGTTATTGGGACCACGCTCTTGGGATCAACGCCGATCGAGAGGAAGGAAGGAATTGGGATTGGGCAGAGGGCAAAGTTGAGCTACGATGCTCTGGAGAGGTCTGGACATGGGGTGACCTTCCACAGCTGTCCTGGTTTGGAAGACCAAGCATAACATTCACAGGAACATATCCTGTTCACCTGGATGGAGGAAAACTACCCATCTTCTCACTTCTGACCAGAGCTGCGCCCATTGGCATGTGTCCATGCCAGCCTCAAAGATGACACTTTATGCTGAAGTCTCAGCCCCTGGTCCAACTCTCAGAACTATCTGCTCCTCCAAATAAATTAGATTTTTAAATGTTAGGCACTTCCCGGAGCCAATGAGAAAGACTTTCAGGGAATGTGTGGTTTAGGAGATAGAACACAGCTCTGAAGACAGCAGGAGGGACTCTGTGCTGCAGGGAGGAGCCATTTCCTTTTCATTTCCAGAAGCGTCTGCCCTGCCCCGCGGGGCCTGGGGCAGCTCTTAGAGCCCACCTCTCACCTTGCTTGAACCTTCTAGTCTTATGAGGTCTAGTGACCCCTTCTCAGAATAAAGACTTTATAGAAATACAATTTTATAGGAATACAGTTTTATAGAAATAAAACAGGATATGGAGTCTTACAAAGAAAAGGAACTACACTTATGCCTCCATCAGAAAGGATGAATCCCCAACTTTTGTAGCAACATGGACGGGACTGGAAGAGATTATGCTGAGTGAAGTAAGTCAAGCAGAGAGAGTCCATTATCATATGGTTTCACTTATTTGTGGAGCATAACAAATAGCATGGAGGACAAGGGGAGTTAGAGAAGAGAAGGGAGTTGGGGGAAATTGGAAGGGGAGGTGAACCATGAGAGACTATGGACTCTGAAAAACAATCTGAGGGGTTAGAAGCGGCGGGGGGTGGGAGGTTGGGAGAACCAGGTGGTGGGTATTAGAGAGGGCACGAATTGCATGGAGCACTGGGTATGGTGCAAAAACAATGAATACTGTTATGCTGAAAATAAAAAAAAAATAAGAAAAAGTACACTTAAGTTCAGGTAGTTAAAAATTTTTTAAATTTTTGATTTAGAAACGGTAGGCACTGGTGCCCCCTTCAAGGTACTCAGGATGGGGTACACTGCTTCGTTCCTGCAGGACTGTCTCCCTGTCCTCGTAAACCAGGGGTCCAGATTCTCCTGAACTTTCAGAGGCCGGTTTTTGGCTGCCCTCTGACTCCTCTCCAGGCCCTGACCCGCACCTGACAATGCTGGCCAATGCCACGTGCAGAGTAGACCCCAAGGGACCGATGTGAAACTCAGGAAAAGCACCACTGGAAGGTCAGCCTGCCTGATGTAGCCACGGTGCCCCAAACAAGCTGAGGGGACTCTTGGATTATTTGGCCCCTGCTCACCACCCCTGGGATGGGCTGTGATCTATCCTCAGTCTTCATTCCGGGCGTGCACATGGCACAAACAGGAAAATCATTCTGTCATGGGAAGATTCCTGGACTCCTCCCAGCAGCCGTTCTGCTTCTCTGTTTTGGGATTTTTCTGGGAGGCTCAGGCACCCTCTATGCTCAGGCCCCTGCCATCTGGCCAGGCCAGTGGGCTCCCTGGGCTGTGCAGCTCCTGGTCTGCTCTCTTGCAGTCTCAGCACTTGGCTTCACTGGGCCCTGAAGGAGGGCACGGCTCCCTTCACTTCTGCTGCGCTTGACTGACGTGGGTCCTGGAATCGTGGTGTGGGCGGATCGCCAAAGTCCTAGAGGACCTGAGCAGTCAGTCCACTCTGCCTTGAAGGTATCTGTCTCTTAGAGACATGCAATAAGTTGATACAGACTGAATGTTTGTATCCTCCCCAAATTCTTAGGGGAAGTCCTGTCCCCAGTGTGATGGCATCCGTGGGTGGGGCATTAGGGTGCTGATTAGGTCATATGGGAGCCTCGCGAATGGGATTCCTGCCTTTAAAAAAGAGACAGCAGAGACCTCCCTTGTTGCTTCCACCATGTGACGACAAGGTGAAGACAGCCATTTATGAACCAGGAGGCTGGACCTCAGCAGACACCGAGTTTGCCGCCACCTTGAGTTTGGACTTCAGCCTCCAGAACCAGGAGAAAGAAACATTTGTGGCTTAAGCCGCCAAGTCTCCGGTACTTTTGTTAGAGCGGCCTTAAGGGACTGAGATATAAATTCTCTACTTTACTCACAAAACACACACAAAAGCCCAGACTTTGAGGAAAGTGCACTGACCTTCAGCTCAGCAGACACACACCACATGTTCTTGAACTTGGCTGAGGGACACAGGGTCCGGAGGACGGTGGGGATTCCGGTTCTCCGGGATGCAGAGGCCAAGGTGGGATGAGCCTGCAGAGATTAATTTATGGGGGAAAGGTCCATGAAGGATAAACATGGGGGAAGTGGCAGGCGAGGGGCCCCTCACGCCCGATGCTGGTTACTCACCTGTAGAAGGCAAGGGGAAAGGAGACTTGGGTGGAGAGAGCTTGGGCGCCGCCCAGAGATAGTCCTGGTCAGGCCAGTGGAAGGTCCTACAGCGAAGGTTGCCCAGTAGAAGCCAGGGAGGAGTGGCTGTGGCATGAGTTCTGTGGGTCCAGACAGGTGAAGCAGGTGGAGGCAGTCACCCCTGCCCACTGCCCGCTCCCCAACAGCACTTTCCCTCGAACAGGCATCTCGACAGGGAGCTCCTGACCATTGTCGTGAAGGGAAATGAAGGATTCTCGCTTGGCTGCTTGCCTCCTGGTCCACAGGCTGGACCACTATGTACTCCAGATCTTCTATTATTGCTTAAAAATAGGCAATGGCTCCTCTTTGCATACAGTGAGGTTCCAACTCCTTTTTTTTTTTTTTTTAAAGATTTTATTTATTTATTTGACAGACAGAGATCACAAGTAGGCAGAGGCAGGCAGAGAGAGAGAGAAGGGAAAGCAGGCTCCCCGCTGAGCAGAGAGCCCGACGCGGGGCTCGATCCCAGGACTCTGGGATCATGACCTGAGCCGAAGGCAGAGGCTTTAACCCACTGAGCCACCCAGGCGCCCCGAGGTTCCAACTCCTTATAAATCACCAAGGCCAGTCACTACCTGGCTTTCTCCCTGTTCTCTCAGCAACAGTTCCTGTGCCGAAACCCAGGGATTTCAGGTGTGGTCTTCAGCACATACTGTTCCAGGGGAGCATGACCTCGTTTGCTCTGCGACGAGCACACCCCATCTGGTCTCACCTGGTCCTAGCGTGTATTTACAGGGGACACTCCTGTGAATCCAAGTTCCTGCACTTAGGGACGGTATGACACTAAGGCCCTGCACACACGTCCTCTCCTCTGCGGTCTCCTGAGCATCACAGACACGAACTCCCCCTTCCCACTGCAGTCCGCTGACAACCGATGTCGGCTCGATCACCCGGTATATGGCTGTTAGCTCACCGAGGGCCATCTTTGCCCTCATGTTTCTCCTACTTCGGCAGCCATTAGAGACATTAGAGCTGTCCTCTCCCATGGGCACTGATGCCGGCAGAGCTGCAATGGAAGAAAACTACCTTACACCGGTCTTCACAGAATCTCTCAGTGGCAGGAAACCATTTGGTCCACATTTCCTGGCCCTCGGTCTATGCCAGCTGTGTGTGCGGGTGGGGGTTGGGGGACAGTCATGTCCCACAAGCCCCAACTGGTAGGTTCTTCTTGCCAACAGTCAACCACATGGCTTGTAAATTCAAAACATTCATCGCTCACGCTTGCCCCCCTTACAAGACCCTTGATTTGAGGTAACAGGAAGTGGATCAAACTCATAAACTTTTGATTAATTTCATTTTTTTCCCCAAAGGTGAAAGCAGGCAATGTACTAGCAAGCTATATTTATTATGAGTCTAACAGGTTTGGTTATCTGGGGTCTGTGCTCATTCTGGATTTTAGAAATAAGAACAAAGTTCATTACCACAAGCCAATCCTAACTTTAAAAAGTAACCAGAGGGGGAGCCTGGGTGGTGCCATTGGTTGAGTGTCCGACTTTTGGTTTCAACTCAGGTTATGATCTCAGGGTAGTGAGATCGAGCCCCGCATCAGGCTCCATGCTCAGCAGGAAGTCTGCAGGGGATTCTCTCTCCCTCTCCCTCCGCCCCTCCTGTTCTCTAAAATAAACCTTTAAAGAAAAAAAAAGTAACCAAAGGAGGTCAAAATTCCACTTGTAAAATCTTTTTATTGATATAAATATACATATGAATAAAATACCTCAGCCTGTAATGTAAGTGAATATTTGTGAAATGTCTTAAAAAGAGTAGTATTCTGATTTTTTACAGGGGTCAAAGTATTCTTTCTTCAAGTCATACATTAAAAGCTAATATGCAGACAGAAATTAAAGGCCTTCGAAAAATCACAAATATTCATAAAACTTCATTCCAATCAACTATGTACATTAACCCGGGCACATGGTAGTGTCAGCCGTGGGCCTCTTTCACTCTGTTCCTCACTGTGCTTACTGACGGTCCTGCAAAGGTCACCGACCAAATTTAAATGTACAATTCCACATCAGGAAGGAAGAAGTTCCCCATGGGAGAATGTAAAAACCATAGCCGAGATCTAATATATATAATTTATACAAATTATTTATTAGTGTGCTCTGTTAATATACTCACAATGTGCAATTGCATACATCAAGAATAAATCTATCGAGTCAAGTGCAGATGTGACATGGGTACCCACGGCAGTGCCCCATGGTCAGCCAATGGTGTTACCTGCATGAGTTATGTGTCCAGTTCCTCTGTTTACCTCCCCAAACTCATCCTGCAGGGCAAACTGTAGCTGCCTCAGAGAAAATTCAAGTAGGATGCATGGAGAGTTGCTGGCATTCACTGAAGGCAGATGAAGAAATGCTTCAAATTCAAATGCCAAGGTGGGGAGAAGACCCCTCAATGGGTCCATTTCTGTTTTCAAAAAATAAGAAAGAAGGAGAAAGAAAAGAAAAAAGCACCAAGAGAAGAGTGTCGGAAGTAGGAAGAGGTGCTGCCCTTGATTCCCCTCTGACGGCTAACTGAGCACCCTGTGCCCTTGGCACGGGGGACCTTTACACAAAGATAAACTCTTTTTCCGCTTCTTCACCAGAGTCACTGGACTTGCCGCCTTGGCGGCCATCTTTACTGGACGACCATTGCTTCTGTTCTTGATACTCCTGGGGCTGCTGGCCCCAGCTTCTCCTTGAAACTGAAACAGAAAGGGAAGGGGGTCATTATAATTGAGGAACAAGGTACAGTCAATGGCCTGACCAGTAATGGGGTGAGATGCAGGGGTTCCAAGAGGCTGGAGGGCTTGGGGGTGGGGGGGGGAGTGGACGCAGAAACAATTCACCAACTACAACTACGTGTAGAGTCTCGAGACGAAAATTAAGAAAAAAACAACAGAAAGAGAAATAAAAGAAGAAAACAAAAAGCCCAGTCTATGAGAGGCTTACCCTCTCATAGCTGTGGCTGCGAATCTGGGGGTAAGGATCGGGGAAGAGAAGGGGCCCCTCCAACCCCTCACGCTGCTTGTGTGGCCGAGAGAACAAGACAGAGCCTGGTGGACATGTGGCCAGACAGATGTCCCTCGTGATGCCTTCTGCCACCATCTAGAGTTGGCTGCCTCTGCTCTGGGGCCAGGACTTGAGGAAGGGCCCAGCAACTGTGGTGAGACCTTTCTGAGCCTTGGCAAACCTCGGTCTTACTCTCTAGGAAGCGAACCGTTTAAAGTCTTATGGAAAGAAATGAATACCACTGATGGTGCAATCAATTCTTTTGGAACTAGCCTCTGGAAAACAGAAGTGCCAGGACTGTCACCTGCTCTGATCACATATAAACATGAAGGATCCCCTGCGACTTGACAAGGCAACAGTGGTAGACCAGTTGCCTGAATGGAGCCTTCAGTACAAGTCACGTCAGACACGCTCCGCTCTATGATCGCTGGTCCTCACAGCTATCCTGGAAGGCAGGTTTTGTAAACGTGGAATCCGGGTTGAAACTGGACCTCTCTCTTGGGTCTCTCTTAGGTCGTGTGGATGGCTCACTCGGTTGAGCATCTGACTCTTGGTTTTGGCTCATGTCATGACCTCAGGGTCCTGAGATCAAGCCCCTCATCAGGCTCTGCGTTCAGTGGAGTCTGCTGAAGATTCTCTCGCTCTGCCCCTCCCCCTGCTCGCATGTCCTCTCTCTCTCTAAAACAAATAAAATCTTTAAAAAATAAACCGAATCTCTCCTTCAAAGACCCTGTTCTTTAAAACTACAGCAGCTTCACTGGTACCACCCACCTAGTGTACAGATCCCACGTAAGCTAAAAATACCAAGCTACAGGCAGGTTAAGCAACTGACTGAGCCACCCAGGGGTCCCCCAAATGAGTAATTTTTAAAAATTTGACCTCTTTATAACTAACACCTCAGATGGAAAAGTGATGAAAAAATATCACAACTGATTTTATTTTTTAGCTTGAATCGTGTAAAAAAAATAAATGTCCTTTGATAGTTGTCAATAAATCAGTTTTGGGGAAAAAGGTAAAATAGGTTTCTATACATAGCTTGTCCTTTATCACAAAATCAATATGAAGTAATACACAAAGAGTCCTCTAAATTCTCAACTTTTGCATGTGCAATATGCACAGGATGAAGTGGAGCGGGTTTACAGTATCTTCACTGTGAGGACACTTTGCAATAATCTGACCCCAAAATAGAGCATTACTAGGGAAATCTTGCTAGAAAATTCTAGTGATTCCCACTTAAAACCAAAGTGGCTTTTTCCTGTCTCTCAGGTGACTCAAAAATAAATTTCCAACACTACAGGTTCAAAAGAAATAAACATGGTGATACACTGCTTTTTGTCTTCAGAGGAAACATATTGGCTCGAATTCTTAGATTCAAAAGGTTTTCATCCCTCCCAGTAGTTTAGCTTCCTCAAAATCCCGGACCTAATTCATGTTCTGTGACATCAGAGTACTCTCTAAAAATGGAGAAATTCATGCCATCAACAATGTTTATGCCACAGGTAAAAACAGAGCACCACGGACCAAGGTCGCTGGGGCATAGCCAACTGAAATTCAGGGAGATCTCACATAGGAATCTTCCTGCAGAAAGCAGACTGTCCTTCGATGTCCTTCAATCCACATCCAAGTGACAATGATTCTGAGTCCTCCAGGGCTAGGGTCAGGGCGGGGGGTGGGGTACAGAAAGATACAGCAAACATTGGTTAACAGGCTGGGTTTTAGGTTGGTGATGTGGACTTAGTACCAGTCATGAAGGCACGAATTTTAATTTGTCCAACATAGTCCCTGAGACAAATAACACGGTCTTTCTAGGGGCCTGACAAAACAGTTCACTAAGGCAGGGACACTGTTTAAAAATTCATTCTAGGGGTGCCTGGGTGGCTCAGTGTTAAGCATCTGCCTTCAGCTCAGGTCATGATCCAGGGTCCTCGGATCGAGGCCTGCATCAGGCTCCCTGCTCGGCAGGGAGTCTGCTTCTCCCTTTCGCTCCCCCCCCCGCCCCCCAGCTCTCTCTCTCTCTCAAATAAATAAAAAGTCTTTAAAAAGTCCACTCTAAAAATATTCACTCTCATTGAATAAACTCTAACACTTGTGAACGTGATCATGAAACTAGCTGGCATTTCCTTGGCGTTGTAGGGAGGCCCGTGAGCAGACTAGAGACCGAAGGACGTGAGAGCAGGGAACGAGAATCAGACAGGTAGCCAATCCGCTCACTCTCCCAGACTCCTGCCTTCTCATCAGCCCAGATCACGGGTGCCAACAGCTTCGTAGGCAGAATGTTCTTTGTCAAGTTTGTTTTCCAGTCTTCTGGCACCAACTGTTTTGGTTACATATAATTAGGATGTTGACTGCAATGATATTGAAGTAGGTCTGGTCAAAGCTCCCGCTAATGAACAGTCCAAATAAGATTATGTCTGCTTGAGGGGCTGCCTGGGTGGCTCAGTGGGTTAAGCCTCTGCCTTCAGCTCGGGTCATGATCTCAGGGTCCTGGGATCGAGTCCCACATCAGGCTCTCTGCTAGGCAGGGAGACTGCTTCCTCCTCTCTTTCTCTACTTGTGATCTCTCTCTCTCTGTCAAATAAATAAAATCTTAAAAAAAAAAAAAAGATTTTGTCTGCTTGAAACTTAAAACTCTGGAAATCATTTAAAAATATTTATAAAATCCAGGCTTTTTTTTTTCTTTTTTTTAAAAACTAATTCAGATGAACCTTCTGCTAGGCAGCCCGATGTAATGCCTGACTTTATGCATGATAAAAGACAAAAATCAGATTGTTTCACTCCACTTCTTCAATGCAAGTAGCCATGCAGCCAACATGTTAGGGCATGTCCATACGTGTCATCTATTCACGAGTTTACTGCCATCCCACGTACCATTAAAATGATGAAAAATACTTGTGTAACTGAACAGGTAATTTATTCAACACAAACGTTTTGTGTATACTCACCTCCCATCTACAGTGCCAATGACTGATGCAGAGAGGCTCAAACATGAAATCTGTCATTCTTGAAGGTGTTTTGACTTTGCATACACATACACACACACACACACACACACACATGCTAATTTTACACATACACACGTGCTAATTTTAAAGCTTCCAAAATGTGCATATAAATTCAGAATTTGAAATGCATTTGAAAACTGGAGCTTTTCTCCATTTTAAGCTCCACGAGCATTCATATTTCCCAGGAGGAAAACATGATGACCTTAAAAATAATATTCAGTAGCCGGGCCTGATTTTTTTAATGCTTTCTGGTAAAATTGCAGACCAACTGTTAATTTTTTTTTTTTTTTTGAAGAACTTTTAGGGGTAGTAGAATCCAGATCTGGTGGAAAAAAAAAAGGTAAAACAGAGCACCAGCTTACAGACCATAAGCCAAAGCCGGGTACTGGTTGGCCCTGGGTTGGATTATGGAAGAAGCAGGTGACGGATAAAAGGAATGTCAGAAGAAGACCGCCTGGGCAAACAGGATACATTGTGATACATATAAAGCCAAAACCACCTATTTTCTTCAAGAAAATAGGACACACTCTAATGACATCACAGCTTATCCTTAAACGCAAGACAGGAAAGGGGATGAAATTCAAAAGTGACAGAGAGTTCCAGTAAAAGAAAAGGGAGCATTTTATACCTGTCAAGTCAAAACGAAAATAGCCACATAATTAAAACAGTAATCATGGTAAAACTACGCAGCATGCTTTGAGAACAACAGCCTCTGTTTGTTACACGGTTACTTGATTTAGGAAAAGAAAAAAGCTGTTTTAGCTTCAACAAAGTTGCTCGTGAAGGATTTAGAGGAAGGCACACAGCGCGTGTAACAGCATCGTTCTGCCAAATGCCATTTGTTAACTAGGAACTAACTATTCAGAAAGCAGACTGCTTTGCGGTTCTCAAGGATGAAGACAGGAGTTGGCACTAACAAAACAAAATTCAAATCTCTGACATAAAATGACTTTAATTGAAGCTCCCGTAAAAATTACATTTTGGGGGGTTCCCATCCGTATTTCAAGAAACCGAGGCAGCAAAGCAAATACAAGATGGTCCTGTTGAATTCCATGAAATTTGGATGCAGCCCATGATGGTGAGGACTGTAGGCTGAAGAGGTCATGGAAAAATCTGCAAAGGGCACAGAATTCCTTGCCTTCCTATGATTTGGTTTATGCCCATTGTCAGCCTCTTTTCACTATCTCAGGGCCTTCCCGCAGGGTCAGTGCGGTCCTGGGGGCGGTCTCGGTGTGTGTGCTGTGTGAAGTGTTTTCAGTGGCTTCTCAAAAGCAGGGACAATGTGTCACCTCAAGGCGCCTTCTTCCTGAGAAGTCAACTGATACAATAGTTCAAATGCAAATTTCCAAACTCTAGAAACATCTGTGCAACCTCATCAGAAGAGGCCACACAGAGACAGAGCTCCTGTTTCAACAGACTCTAAGAAGAACTCTGCCTCTCTTCAGAAAACAAATGTCTTAGGCATTCATTGATGTAATTTTTCTACCGCTTGAACAGATTTTCTGGAAAATATCAGAGGCAATCTCTTACAGAGAGAAGAGTTGTTGTAAGCACGTGTTTATTGTAAGTTATCGTAAGGATGTGTCTACAAGCAAACACACAGGAAATCCGTGTGTGCTCACGTGCGCGAGTGTGTGTTCCAATAAAACTTTATGTACAAAAACAATGGGTCATAGCGTTTGTTTGTTTGATTATAGGGTCAACCACAGTAGTGTCTGGGGCATCACTGGTATTTATTTATTTTAAATTTTTAATTGAAGTATGGTTGACCTAGTAGTTTCAGGAAATCCTCTAAAAGTTTCTCTAGGTAGGGCACATGCTACCTGCTGGCCCAGGCAGAACGTTCGTATGTGACCTATGCTGTGGATGGCGTCCTTCACTCCATCTGGTCCACCCCAGCATCTAGCTGGTGTGTGCCAGATCACCAGGCAAGTCAGAGCTCATGGCTCATCCAACCGCATTGGCCAAGAAAGCTGGCTCCAAAGGTTGTTGCCCGTGGGGCACCAGTAGGTGCTTTTTTGTCATTGTTTTGGTTTTTAAGCCTCTGTCAAAGGAAGTTCTCAAAGACAGTGGCCCCCACTTGAGCCACCGTAGGGAACTCAGTGAGTTGTTAAGCTGGAGGGTGGGTCACGAGAGTCAGACTATCAGTTAAGGAAGTGCTAGAGTTCAAGAATGGCTTCTCCTTTTGCAATAAAGAAGAGTTAGCCCCATAATATGATCACTCCCACTGACTTGCTGTCCAGGGCGCTAAGAAGGCTGTGAGGGGCCGTGCCGTGCCCTTCATCACTGGGACTCTAAGCATACTCACATGTTAACTGCCCCATAGAGTTTTACAGGAAGACAAGTGCCCTGTTTCAAGGGAAAAAGTATTTCCAAGGAATCTCACTTATCAGGATATTTTATATATCTTTTTTTCTTTTATGATACAAAGACGCCCTTTCAGATTTTTCCAGGTAAGTTTATAAAAAGTGATCAGCCGGGAAGATCATCAGTACTGAGTCACAGAAAAGACGTTTCCTCTCCGGATCAGCTACGTTTGCTCTAACATCGCCCCCACTGGAGATTAAAGCCGACTGGAAATCTGTCTCCTTTTTGTCTCCTGGGACTCTTTGGCTGCACTGAACATGGCAGAGTTTACCGTTTACCACAGTGTCCAACGGAAGACAGGTGCCAACAAGTTGTAAAGTTGAATAAACTGTTCTCAGAGGTTGAAAAGTTAATTGGTACTTTTTCTGTCTCCCTAAGGGGTCCTCAAATATCCCAGGAGAGGTCGTGGGCATGGTGTGAGGTCTGCATTTAGTCCTGGCTTTTTATGGCTCCTTTCCCAAAAGAGTATAAGGTAAGGTGTTACGGCCAATACTTGAGAAAGGCAGAAACTGTGTTACTCTCAGAATCTCTGATCCGATCCCAATTACAATCTAACGGAAGAGTAGAGAGATCGAGAAAACAGGAGGTATGACCCCAAATATAAAAATGAACCTACGTGGTCATAAAATTTTGAACGGACAAGTCACCCTACTCCAAAGTAACTTGATCCTCCTCCTGATGGTTTCTAATTTTAGATTTTTAAGTTCATATTTTTTTTTTTTTTTTTTTTTACTCCAAAGGGAAGGACCATCCTGTTGCCATTTAGGAAAAAGAAAAAACACGAAAAAAAGCAGTTGTCCGAATTAATCCCTGGACTGGTCCTGGGAGAGAAGTTACTCAATTAAAGTTCGGTTTTGTTAGTGCCAGTCCGTAAGCTTTGGGTCAGCGAGGGATGATAACCGAAGGCTCTAACCATTTGTTGGCTGTGACTTCCTGTGCCCAATTGCATTCACTTCCTCTTCTGCAATGGTGGAGTACAGTTTTGAAGATCTTTTCCCTCCACTGGAAGGCTTGTCACTGTCATGATCTGAATGTCTTTTGTAATAATCTCCTCTTTGCACTACTGAGGAAAAGGGATTCGTTTTACCCTTTATATTAGCAAATACATCACTGTGTTGACAATAATGTTAACGACTGTTAGGATGAAAAATTAAATATCAGAGAACCCACCCCACTTAGGATTTAAGGAACCTACAGTGTTGGGCCTGCCCAGATACACCGTCACCTACAGAATTCAACAGCCAACATTATGGAAATGTGGTGCAAAATGAGGTGAGCTCTGAGTCTGCCCCCCCCAGGGGTGCTAACAAAAGGCCCCCCGTGTTACCACTTCTGATTCCAGGATGGATTAACGAAAATCACATTCACTATGGAACAAACCAGAAGAATCATAGCAATTTACCTGTTTCAGAAATTAGTTGGGCACGCTAGTCCGAAGGGAGGCACAGAACAAGGAAATGAAGTAACCAGCATGAATAATGCACAAGAAAACAGGAATGAGAACATCAGGAATATTTTCTAAAGAAAAAGACAGGGCTCGCGAGAGGCTATCATTCCTGGGCTGGCAGAGCTGGGGAGCTGATAAATAAACAGGTCAGACTCTTACCACCTTGGGCAGACTATACATACTCCTCTCTGATGCACACACATTTTCAGTCCAATTTCAATACCAAGTGACAACCACAGTGATCTCTGTGGTTAACTTATTGTGGATCCCCGGGGAAAACTCTCCAGGCCCTACCTAGAAAGATGGGGGTATGCATCACCCTCGGTGTTCGCTCTCGAGGGAGAATGAGGAAGGGTGTCAAACGTCTACCCCAGAGCTTGGAAATGTCTGAGGGGCAAAGACGTTCCTCAGGGACCCGGAGCAGCCAAGGGCTCGCTGGTATTCACCCACTTGAACCAGAGGGGTGCGATGACACCCATTTTCAGCCCGGAGGCTGGTGGCTTCCTCGCGGCCTTGTTTTCATTGTCTGGGCATCTAGCACACATAGCTTTTCATAAAAGTGAAGCAATTTTCGGAACTTCCTTACAGGTAACGATGCAAAGTCGGCAGTCACAGAAAGAAGGGAAGACAAGGATGGGTGTGGGGGAGGGGTTACCAGGGACGCTTGCTGCTGGCTCATGGGTCCGACTGGCCACCAGCCAAGGTTCTGCCCTCTACATCAAGACTTCTGGGGGCTACGGCTATCACAGCAAACTCTGTGTTTGTCCTTTCCATGTAAGCAGACTCTAGGCACCGGCTACCTCTCATGGCTTTCAGTGCTCTGCTTGACATGAGTGTTCTATCAGCTTTGGTCAAAACCCTACCTTCTTTTATTTATAACCCACAGGTGAGTGAAGCTTGTACCCACCAAATGAATCTGCAGAATGGAGAGGAGGAAGCAGACAATGTTTTTCTTTTTTTTCTTAATTATTCTTTTTCTCCCAAGCCACAAAGATAGTACTCAGAAATACTTTCTATTAACTTCAACACGAGACTACCATTAATAAAAGAAAAGAGGCCAGGGCGGGAAGATGTCAGAGCCTGAAGGGTCAAGGAATTCTACAGCATCAGGCACCTAAAATAAAACAAAGCAGCTTCAAACCATAACAGGAGCCATCTGGTCATGGGTGATGACTCGTGTGGCTCTGGAATGTCCCTACAGGTGGGGGCTTCAAGACAGCAATTATGTTACTATGTATGAAGGACAGAACCCAACCGTCCACAGCGTTTTTAACAGAATGAGGGAAGTGGGGGGGGCGGAGAGGAATGGTGGGTTGCTGAACACGTCTCGCCTCCACTGATCAGAGAGAGGGCACCCAAGTCCCAGCATTATCTTGCTCTGCTCCAACCCCAGCAAATCAGGAGCAGCCAACTGGGGACAATGATTTCCCCAGAGTGTCCTTGCAGGTGCCACGCTTGTGAGAATAAGGAATGCATGACCTCATGATTGAGCAAGCAGGAGGAGCTGCCAGGTCTCTCGGGCCTGCGGGGGCTGCCTGTGATCATTCACAACCGGGGGAAGCTTTTCTGGGAAATAATGGGACCTAGAGGCCTACAAGTCGCCGAGATGAGGCACAAAGTATTTAAGGCACTCCCTACCTGCTGGGAGCCCGCGCAGGAGCACCTAGTGATTACAAAGAAGTTAAACCTTGGGTTGGGGTGTCCGGTATATTTTCACTCATTGTGTATGGTCCTTCATTAAGATCCAGTGTCATCAAAAATGTCGATTCAAATTTCTGAATGAGAAAACTATTCTGGTTCCAAAAGTTTAGTCCAAGAGATGCTGACTTAAACTCTAAGGTATTAGTTGAGTCCAAGATTAATTCCTTTCTCTTGAAAAGACTCTCCTTGGAGAAAGCGGACGTACAGGAAACATTTCTTACCTTCCTGGGAAAATGTCCTGGGACTAGGCTGGGGGCTACTCTGGCCATCTCTCTCCTTGTCTGATGGAACTTTCTTCAGGACAGGCGGAAGAAGAGCAATTTTAGAGGAACCAGGGCTGGATGGAGAGTCTGGGATGTCCTCTGGAGAGACACAAACGCATGAATCAAACTGTTCCACAGACCAGATTCCGAAAACATAAGCTAGGCTAATCTTTAAATATGAACGGCTAATAATTTTTTACAAGTGTTGTAGAATTCTTTTGGCCAAAACCCAAGTTTTGTGTTCCTGCAGGTAACATCTACAAACAGTAGGGGGAAAAGTAATTAAAACTTAGGAAAGGTTAAAATCTCTAAAAATCGCAGATGTGAATTTATCTTGTAGACGCAGAATTTCAATGAGCTGGTATTTGAAAATTACGCTCTAAGTGAACTCCATGTTCCTTTTGCCTCAGACACAGAGGCTGCTGGATATTCCTCAAACATGTGACATTGATAACCGTCCTTCCTCTACCTGCTGCTGAGTCCAGTGAAGCGGTCATGAAATACACACGAACATAGAATGTGGGTGCGCGTACCTATGTTGACTGAGACCACTAAGAATAACTTGGCATCATGGACTTTTAGAACTAGAAAGACTTCGGTGATCCCTGTACAAATGAAGAGATTAACAGATGACCCGCTGAAAGAAAACGACAACGTTGCTAGGATGTACAGTCTAGTCTCTTCACTCTAAAGGCTGTGCTCTCTCACTCTAACTGAAAGGATGTCCTGAATTGCTCTCCTTCCTCTGCTCTGTGGCTGGCAAGGCTATCTGAACTTGGCATGTGTGTGTGCGTGCACAAAGACGACGATTTTCAGTCAGGCCCTGTTCAGCCTTCTACTTCCGTTTCAACTCTCCTACGCGCTCCACTGGATGAACAGGATATCAAAGAGCTCTCCCTGCTCAAACGATCTCTCAGAGCTGCGGAGAGGAAACGAGCGGATGGATTGGGAAGTGCCTGCTGACTTCTCAAGCGCTAGAAAAGCAAACGTAAGTCTTGATACAGTAAGTGCTAAGAAACAAATGAACACTTTTAACAAATAAATAGAAAAGAGAAGCTCCTTGAGACAGAATACTGGGAATCCAGCTAATCTGACATTCAGAATTCCCAACGGAGGAGCCAAAATACTGTACAAGCTAGGTCCATTTTGTAAGAGCCGTTCCCTTACCGCAGGCTAGAGCGACACCTTGTCGATGAAAATACCAGCCTGATTTTGAGTAGTCATTTAAAACAATTCTTCCAAATATATATATTTTTTGTTTCATTCTCCGCACTCTTTATATTATAACGATAATCTGTGTGCACCAAGAAATGTTCCGTGTTTTCCATCATGACAAACTTCGGTCTGTAAAACGGTTCGAGCAGACTTAGGACACTCAAAATGATCTGCTCCAAGGGTCAGAGAACTGACGTGACCCCAGGGTCCCTCTGCGGCTGTGCTTTGGAGACCGGGCATTGGGCTTCTTGAGGGATGAATGGGCTGTGGAGACCGGCAAGCATTAACCAGCTGGCCGCTTGGTGAACGAAAGACACATTTGAGGGAAAATGGGGAAAGACCCACAGTGGAATGAATCTGGGTGCATGTGACGCTGCATTTTTTCTCATTGCACCCAGTCCTCTGCCTATGAATGAATGACTGTGGTGAGCTGCATGTCTTTCTTTCTAGCACCCACGCCTACGGGAAGGAGGCTGATGGGAGTGGTCACCCTGGGGGTGTCCTAGTGTCTGGCTGCTGCTCACCAGCTGTGGGACTTGTCCAACTGAGGGTCCTCACAGTCCACATGTGCGGTGGGGACATATGGAGTTTACCCACGTAAAACACTTAGAACAGCGCTTGACACAGTGTTTGGTTCATATCAGCGGGGACGGCAGGTGGCGAGGATACTCTGACCCTCTGTACCTTTACCCTTACTTGCCTACTTACGACAAGGGAAGACAATGAAGAGGTTCTATGAGGTTCATTACATTATCCATTTTACTTTTGTTAATGTTTAAAAATTCTCATAGTAGGCCATTGGGGGAAGAAAAAGAGAGAAAAAAGAGAAAAAGAAAGAGAGGAAAAAAGAAAAAAGGGGGAAAAAGAAAAAGAAAAAAGCCTGAGAGGGAAGAGCAGTTGTAGGAGAGAAAAAAAGGCAGAGTCTAATCCATTTCTAAGTTTCTTCTACCAGTCAATTTTCTAAACAAGAGTCAGCAAACTTCTTCTGGAAAGGGCCAAACAGTAAATATCTCAGGCCTGCAGGCCAAACGGCCTCGGTCACAACTCCGCTCTGCCGTGTGAGCGCCGAACGGCGGGAGACAATCTGGAGACAGATGGCCTGGACACAAGCCGCCAGCATTTCATTTACAGAAACAGGCCCATGGATGGCCAAGCCCTGTTCTAAACCCGAAATATTTCACGTACTATGGGGTAAAAAGAGGAGAACTTACGCTCTCCCTATTTACAGCCTACATCCTTACTGCAGGGCCTCCTGAAGGGTGTGTGGACCCTTGAGGCCGTTCTCAGGAAGCTCAGTGCGGTCCTGCAATGGGCCAGCGCAACACAGGGCTGTCCTCTCGTATGGCCCTCTAACCTGTGGCCTGAAGGCAGGGGCAGTCTCTGAGGCCCTGGACCTAGGTGTTGAATAAAGAAACTCATCAAGGGTGCCTGGGGGGCTCAGTGGGTTAAGCCTCTGCCTTCAGCTCAGGTCATGATCCCAGGGTCCTGGGATCGAGCCCCACTTCAGGCTCCCTGCTCAGCAGAGAGCCTGCTTCTCCTTCTGTCTCTGTCTGCCATTCTGCCTGCTTGCGCTCTGTCAAATAAATAAACAAAATCTTAAAAAAAAAAAAAAAAAAAAAGAAATTCTTCAGCCTTTGTCCCTGTCGAAACTGCTGGCAGGTTTCTCTGAGCCCTCCTGCAGACCCGTGTGCCCATGATCACCCGCAGCCCCCGAACTGTGGGTGGAGTCGCGATCCAGGGAGCCCCGGAAGCCGCCTGACCCGGGGGTCACCCCCTGCCCAGCAGAACCCTTACCGGGCCGTGAGGCGGTTCTCGGCTTCTGCGGGATGGTGGGCCGCGCCGCCAAGCTGGGTTTGGGGGACTGCAGCAGGGGCTTTGGGCTGGTCGGAGTGCTGGAAGAGCTCCGCGACCTGGGGCCCGCGTCCGCTTTGGGCTCCGCTTTGGTGTTCTTCTCGGGTGTTCCCACACCGAAGCGGCTCTCCGCGACACCTGGGTGCAGCTTAGGCACTGCGATGAGAATGGGGACAAAGAGCACACTTGAAACTCAGAGGAGAAAGAAACGGATCTTTCACAGCTTGGAGAGGTCTGGTACAAACTGCCGTAATCTTTTCCCGTCCTTTCTCATCACAGGTACTCCAAAACGGAAGCATGTCATTCCAGCACGCTTGTAGATTCCCACGCGCTGGTGGAAGACTACACTTATTTGTGGAAAAGCAATGAACTTGGTGGTGCTCTTCCGATCGCTCCTGACTACTCCACAGACGGCAAGCGTCAAGTTCAAGCGTGTCCGTGTCCATGTCCATGGGCGGAGAGCACGCAGGGCTGAAGGCATTGGAAGCACTCAGCTCTTTCTCAGATGTGGCACGAGGTGCAGGTACAGGAAAAACCAGTCACGGGGTGCCTCCGTTCTGGGTAATCATCGGCAGGTAGGGGTCTGGCTATGGGTCCCCAGCAAGGAGAGCTACACTGATGTCCAGAACCTCCCACTTAGAACCTCCCAATCATGCAAACGGCTTCCGGGATGTCATCCTCATCCCACCCCTGCTGGTTGAACATGAGCTACCTTCCAACTCTTACATAAAGATACCCAAGTTCAACACAGGACTTTGAAGCAGCAAAGCGAGGTTTCTGACATGCCATTTGTAAGTTACTCTTCCGTTCCCTTCAAACATGTCTTATTCTTTTACTACACCTGAAAAGTCAGAGGACCAAAGGGTAGTGGACATTCATGCTGAAAGAACATTTTTTCATCTCAAACAAATGGGCTACCTTCCACCTCCTGAGTGTGGCTGATTGGACACACTGGACATGGCCCCGTCTTCCCCCTACTCCTCAGATGCCCACAGTTTGGGAGTTTTCCTCAAAGACATTTCCTCCCTCTGGGAAATTGGAGAAGGTGCCCTGTGCTGGCACACAGCTAGCAAGGTGGGAGATATGGCCCAGGTAGAGGGACGTGGCATCCAGGGGAAAGCTGACAATCCACGACACAGGGCCCCGTTCTCCTCTGATTCTAATCTTTCTTCTGTCAATCATGTGTGACTCCTGAAACCAGACAGGAAGGGTTTTTCCTTAGAGGGTGATGGTCTTACCTGCCCCACCTCCATCCAGACGTTCTGTGCTGCCCAAGGCCAGGCTGGAGGAATCCTGAGAGATGGCCTCATTCCCAAGCTTCTGAAAAATTCAAGCACACAGTCCCGGGAAAGTGTGTGTTTATTTAAGATGTAAGAAAAAGAACATAAGCAGATCATAAATGACAACAAATAATGGCCCCTTTACTACTCTCACACTGACTGTGTCCCACCTCTCTGTCTCCCTGAGCCACCTTCTGGAACAAAGCTTGAATGAGCAGGTTCTGTTCTGTGTTCACAGTTGGGGCTCTGGGGTCCGAAGAGTGGTCAGTTCCTCAGAATGTTCCCCTGGGATGACAGGTGCGTGGACTCAGGGGAAGCTAGAAGGCTTGGGGTCAGTTCCTATTTCCTGTGGGGTTTTTCTGTGGGAATACCTCTACAGGCTCCACAGCCCCTGATGCTCCAGGCAGCGGGGACACGGACACTCTGCAAGTTGACGGGACCCTCTCCCCAAGTTGAGTTCCCCAAATCAAATCTTAAAAGTAGTGGAAACCTTTTCAACTTAAATGTATAAGATAGGTAAAAAGGGGCCTATAGCCAGCAGGGCCTTCCCCGCCACTGACGCAGAACCACAGGACACAAATCTATTGTTTAATCTATTGGCCATAGATGAACAGAATTAATTTTAAAATCCCCAAAATGGGCACCTGGGTGGCTCAGTGGGTTAAGTGACTGCCTTGGGCTCAGGTCATGATTTCAGGGTCCTGGGATCGAGTCCCACATCACGCTCCCTGCTCAGCAGGGAGCCTGCTTCTCCCTCTGCCCCTCCTGCTCAGGCTCTCTCTCGCAAAAATAAAAGACTTTCGAAAAGAAAAAGAAAAGACCCCAGAGCTCCAGGCGAAGGGGTCTGTGATAGCAAAAGGGGGTGGAGTTAGAGGCCGTTGTCTAGGGAAAGGAGCAGGAACTCGTGAAGCTAGGCCTCCACCTCTTCCTCGCGTTGCAGAGTGCCCACCTAAGAGGGGGACATCTAGATCCAAAAAGTTACCTGAAATGAAACATCTAGGGTTGGCTTAATAAGGTCCAAGTTCCCCAGTGACAATGACGATCTACATCTGCCTCCCATTCAAAACCACAACACAGCTGGGCAGGTAGACCGGGAGGCTGATGACCTTCTGCCTGTTGCTTCCCGCTGGGGGCACACTTCGGACAAACCTGAGAAGCACTGAGCGCCTGCCGCTTCCCAGCTTCCCAGTATTTGTGATGCTCTAGGAGGGGTTATCTGAAACTCAGATGAGAGCTGCCTCATGTACCACATGGACTGGCCGGCTACGGCCAGACCCTGGCCCAGATTGCCACCCCCCCGCCCCCGCCCCGCCTCTGACCCTAAGGTAGCAGGTGTCCGGAGCTCCCTCAGCACGACCACGTTAGCTCCACTGCGGAAGGCGGTTGAGCAGGTCTCCGAGAAGGAATGTGCACACAGGTTCCACGGCTAGAATGTGCATTGTTTGGCGTCATGGAGGAAACGGGATCCCGAGGAAAGGAAGCCCCGTTCCAGGGTCCCAGGAGAGCCCTCGGATCCCACCGGGCAGAGGCACCAGGTCCCCCGCCTGGACCAGCAGGGGGCGCGGGAGCCCTGGAACAGAGCCCCGCCTCTGGGCGGGGCCTAAGCAGCGCCCCGCCCAGCATCTCCTGGCCTCCAGAAGGCAGGGCCACGGCTCCTGTGCTCAGACACAGGTAAGAAAGTGTGCTGCTTAAACATGGCCAGGACCAGGCTGTGACTAACAAGCCGCCAGCGCACGAATCCAAGGGGGACACCGGCTTCCGGGCGTGTGAGCGCTGGGCTGAGCTCCGAAAGCCAGTGCCTCCTCACACTTTGTACCCGGGTGCCCCGCTCGCCTCCATTTAATATATGATCCGAGGAGTTGTGTTTTCTTTTTACTTCCCGGCTTTCTGAGGTAGTTAACAGGTATCAAAAATGACCGGGTGGAATAAGGGTAAAATACTGTGACATCCATTGTCTTTGAGTGCCAGCAGCTGAGGAGGTGGCCCCCAAGAAAGATGGGGGCTCTCTGCATTCAGTACTTGTTACTCGCCTTTGTTAATAAGAGAAGTGCCATGTGTTCACATTCACGGCTCTTTTCCTTTAAATACATGTATTAAATGTGAAGAGTGTAAAGAAAATTATTCAAGAGAAGAGTGAAGACACCATAAATTTTAGCAACAGTACACTGACCAATGGGGTTTATGCTGCTTTTATGAAGAATACAGTCATTTTAGGGGAAAATATTTTTACACTAATTTTTTTAAGTTTGATTGTTTTTAAGAGAGTGAGTTCATGAGGCAGGGAGGGACAGCAGGGGCAGAGAGAAAATCTCAAGCAGGCTCCCTGCGCAGTGCAGAGCCCAATGGGATCAATCCCATGACCCTGAGATCACGACGTGAGCCAAAATCAAGACCCAGATGCTTAACTGACTGAGCCACCCAGCTGTCCCTTATACTAATTTTTGAAAATCCTTCCTATTATTTTATTATTCTGATAGAATACTCCTGACCAGTTTGAATTTCCAATTCAGGCATTGTTCCCACAGCCATTTGCTCACTTCATGTCCCTGTGGCACATTTTGGTAATTTACAGTATTTCAAACTCTTTCGTTATTGTTCTATTTGTTAGGGTGATCTGCGATGTTACTGTTGTAATTGTCCTGGGTGCCGTGAACTGTGCCCAAATAAGGCAGTGAACTTCATCGATAAATGTCGTTCATGTTCTGACTGCTCCACCAACCGGCTGTTCCCCATCTCTCTCCCTCTGCTCACATCTCCTCACGCCTCCCTATTTCTAAGACACCACAATACTGAAACGGGGCCAAGTAATAACCCTACAACGGCCTCTAAGTGTTCAAGTGAAGGAAGAGTTACACATCTCCCTTTAAACCAAACCTAGAAATGACTAAGCTTCATGAGGAAGGCATGTCGAAAGCCCAGACAGGCCCAAGGCCAGGTCTCTTGTGCCAAGGAGTTACCCAAGTTGGGAATGCAACGGAAAAGTTCTCGAAGGAAATGAGAAGTGTTATTCCAGTGAACACATGAATGGTTAAGAAAGCAAAACAGAGGGGCGCCTGGGTGGCTCAGTGGGTTAAAGCCTCTGCCTTCAGCTCAGGGCATGATCTCCGGGTCCTGGGATCGAGCCCCGCATCGGGCTCTCTGCTCAGCAGGAAGCCTGCTTCCCTTCCTCTCTCTCTACCTGCCTCTCTGCCTACTTGTGATCTCTGTCTGTCCAATAAATAAATAATCTTAAAAAAAAAAGAAAGCAAAACAGACTTATGGCTCATGTGGAGACAGTTTGAGCAGTCTGGACAGAAGATCATACCAGCCACAACTACCTTTAAGTCAAAGCCTCATCCAGAGCAAGGCCCTGACTCTCCAGCTCCATGAAGGCCTGAGGGAGGTGAAAACGCTGCAAAAAAAAAGTATGAAGCTAGCGGGGGGCGGGGGTGTCATGAAGTCGAAGAAGTTCCAGAGAAAAATGCGAGGTGAGGCAGCAGGTGCTGACAGAGAAGCTGCAGCAACTTCTCCAGAAGATCGAGCTGATAGAGTTAATGAAGGCGGCTACGCTAGGAAACAGTGGAGACAAACAGCCTTCCTTAGGAAGAAGATGCCATCTAGGACTTTGCACAGCTAGAGCGGAGAAGTCAGCGCCTGCCTTCAAAGCTTCAAAGGACAGGCTGACCTTCTGAGGGCCTAATGCAGCTGCTGACTTTAAGTTGGAGCCAATGCTCAGTCCCCATTCCGAAGCTCCCAGGGCCCTTAGGAACGGCGCTAAAGCGACTTTGCCCGTGCTCTAGAAATGAATGACAGACAAAGCTTGGAGGACAGCACATCCGTTCATAACATGGTTTACTGAATATTTTAGGCCCACTGTTGAGACCTGCTGCTCAGAATAAAAGATTCCTTTCAAAACATTACTGCTCATTGACAATGCACCTGGTCACCCGAGAGCGCACTGTCGTTGGCTGTTTTCATGCCTGCTGACACAGTATCCATTCCGCAGTCCATGGATCAAGGAGTCCTTTCAACTTTCGAGTCTTACTATGTAGAAAATTCATTCTGTAAGGCTAATGCTGCCATAGACAGTGCTTCCCCCTGATGGGTCTGGGAAAGTCAACTGAAAACCTTCTAGAAAGGATTTGACATTCTAAATGCTATTCAGAACATTTGTGATTTATGGAAAAGGTCAAAAAACCAACATGAACAGACTTTGGAAGATGGTGACTCCCACCCTCATGGAGGACATGGAAGGGTTCACGACTCCAGGGGAGGAAGTCCCTGTGGGTGTGGTGGAAACAGCAAGAGAGCTGGAAGGGGAGACTGAAGAGGGGACAGCATGGCTGCCGTCTCGGGATCAGACCTGAACGAATGCGGACGTGCTTCTGACACATGAGCAAAGCACGTGGTTTCTTGAGATGGGATCTACTCCTGGGGAAGACGGGGTGAAGATTATTGGAACGACAACAGAGGATTTACATTATAACATAAACCTAGTTGAGAAGGCACCAGCTGGGTCTGAGAGGGTTCACTCCAACGCGAAAGCAGCTCTGTTGTGGGTCAGACGCTGTGCAACAGCATTGCACGCTACAGAGAAATCATCGGTGAGGGGAGAGTTAATCAATGTGGCCAACTTCACTGTTGTCTTATTTTAAGACATTGCCACAGCCAGCCCCACCTTGGAGCAACAGCCACCCTCACAGGTCAGCAGCTATCGACATGGAGGCAGGACCCCCCACCAGCAAGCACAGATGATCGTATTTTTTATCTATAAAATAGTTAAAAATTATAAGGTAGGTACCTTGGCTTTTTTAGACACAATGACAGTCATACACTCAACAGACTACAGTATGGTGTAAACATGATTTTCTATGTACTGGGAAACCCCTAAATCCATTTGACTTGCTTTACTGCAATATTTCCCTTATTGTGTTGGTCTGGAACTGAACTCGTGACATCTCAGGTCAACCAGATGGGGTCCCCATCTCTGGGGAACAACGTGATGTTGTTCTAAATAGACACAAGATGGCGCTAGGAGCTCATTACTATAAGCCTTCAGCACCTAAGACCTACACCACAGGAATTTTGTCACTCCGAGTCAATTTATGTATCCAATTCAACATGCATGGAAAAAACCCTCCAGCATGTCCCATCTTTCTACCAAAAAGCAGCTGTTCATCCGTGAAAACAGTGATAAAATAAACAGCTCATTAGTGAAAACAGCAGTTCATTGTTGTAAGAAATTCTATAAAATGGATTGAAATTTAAACATTTCCTTGGGCGTCTGACTCACCAGTGATGTGGTCACAGTGCTTATTCAGAATTCTGACCAATGAATTAGCAGAATACAGTTAAATGGTCCCGCCCTCTACACCCTCCTCAGCCTTCCATAAGGGTCAATGGGTAAGTTAGGAGAGATCGGTCATGAGAAAATTGCTGGGTAACTACTGTGCTGGTAGAAGAACTACGGCAAAGAGTTGTAAAGTCATGTGGGATGCAGGAGTTAATGAAAAAATAATCAGCTGTTAAGCCATATAAAAACCCTCCACACCCTGGTATACAATACAGTTTACTAGTAGCTTTCTAAAAATCAACGGTTCATTGGGGTGAACCATTTCATTCTCATACTTCAAATAAGACAGATGGGCAATTTTCCTTTCTTTGGGAAACCCAATAATGTAGATGAAAAAGAACTCAGATTCACATGCAAAACCCAAAACCCGCGTTAACATGGGTATATTGATCTTAGCGATCACTATAAAGCTATAATCTTTCAAGTAGCTACAAGAGAAAGGAGAGATAATGGAAGAAAAAACACCACAATGTCTACTTTAAAAGATGTGTGAAGGATAAATGATATATTAAGTCAGATTTTGGGAGGATTTGGCAATTTTGAAATGATCAAGCTTTTCTTGAAGCAATCCATAATATATCTCAATGATCAAGTATTTAATTCTATCAGAACACCTTTACTTTTTTTCCCTTTTGACTTTAAAATCTGAAACAGAGCAAGGAATTTTTAGGTTTGGAAAAAGGGAACTCTGAAAAAACTGAAAAGGAGATCTATTTCTATATAATTAGAATCTGGTTTCAGGTTTTTTTTTTTTTTTTTTTTTTTAGGTTTTTAAAAATTTTTAGGTAATCTCTACACCTGACGTGGGGCTTGAACTCACAACCATGAGATCAAGAGTTGCATGTTCTACTGACGGAGCCAGCCAGGCGCCCCCACGGTTTTGGTATCTTTATTAGCCTCTGTCCGTTGTTTCTAGTCACGCTCAGGTCTCATCTTGGATTCAACCGACTGGTGCTCTCCCCAGCTGTGCCATTTCCCGGCATTGGGGGTCCCAGGCTCCTGACTCACACAGGAAGCCACCTCCGCAGGTGGGGAAAGGTGGGTAGACTCTCACTCTCAGCTAACGACTTACCTTCAAACGCTGTGGCTTGGAAGAATGGACCCTCGCATTGGAGGGAAAAGCTGGCCATGTCTTCGTCATCTGTGCTTTGGGTTCTTTTGGATAAAGGCTTTTGGTTTTGGATTTGTATTGAACCGAACGGGCTAGCTCTGTACCTCTCTCGCCAATGAACACCAAGAGGGGGGCGAAGCCACACAACCGAGTCATAAGGGACCAAGCCTCACCTTCTGCGCACAGGCCGCTCTCCTCTCCTGCTTGGCCTTCATCTCCGCCATCAGGCCGCTGCCCATCACCTGGATCCCGTACCTTCGCCCGCCCTGCGGACTGTTCTTGCCGTCGCTCCGCTCCACCCTGCCCACGTCCTCCCCGTGACCTTCCTCAAGGGAGTCGGGGGCTTTTAGCTCCTCTGTCCGCTCCGAACTGCCATTGTGCTCCGTGGGCTTGGCGTCCTTCCTGGGGGTGTCCGTGGCCGGACTTTTGATGGCTCCTTTTGGCGAGGACGGTTCGTCCGGCATCAAGACCGTGGGAGGCCGCTCAGATTTGGACCGGGACTTGATTAAATTGAGAAAGCCGCTCTTCCGAGAGTCTCGCTTTTTCTTTTCATCTCCTCCCTCGCTAAGCTCGTGGGACTCAGAGCCTCTTGCAGATGATCTCCTGGGATTCAAAAGAACAAATACTGTGGGTTCTGCTGTTAATTAAAGTTCTAGCCAGAGCTGAAGAATTTGAGTCTTTGCCCTTGATAAATAGAAGTGGGGATGTTGTCACAGTCGCAGGTAAGGAGGTGAAGGCACCACCAGCTAAGAAGGAGAACCTGAAGGGGTAGGTGTTTTTGAATCTCAACACTCAGGTCAACTGCCTCTCCACTTGAAAGACCTTCCAGCAAAGCTGGCTCCACACAGACACAGGACAGAGATGGCCTTATTTAGTGTGACTGACAATGGAAAGGGCCGGCCGTCCCCACAGCCACCTACAATCCTTGTGTCATCACTAGATCACATCTGAAATCCCACCATTGGTGCTCAACTCAAACAAAGATGTGGGTCTTTGCCTCAAGGGAACACCCCTGAAGGAGGCAACAGGGACGGTGAGCGTTGGCAGAGCGTTGTACATAAGAGTCAAGTTCAGGAACGAAAGAGAATATTCAGGAATGGGGGGATGGGTAGGGAAAGAGCAAGTCCAAGGGGTCAATGGGATGTCTCCCTGGTGCCATTCATTTAGAGCTGGCAGACTCTGGTCCCGTTAGCTCCTCTGAGTCCCCCATGAAATCATGGCCAAAGGTGTGAAGAAAAAAATAAAGGCCAAGAGCCCCAGAGCAGAAGAAAGGCAAAACAACAAAGTCTGGAAGCCAAGAGAAATTTTGACGAAAAACGGACTTATGAGATGTGGAAAGCCGCCCCCTGAAGTGCTGGTGGGGGAGACAAGAAGCAGTGGGTTTGCATGAGGCTCCCGGTGCCTCTGGAAACAGAAGGGAAGCAGGAGCTCTAGGGAGGAAGAGAGCCAGAAGTCCATTCACCAAACCATCAGATCCTCTCCCCAAACCAGAGATCAAAACTGCCCCTTCGAGCCCAAGTTTACCCACCGGGCAGGGTGAGGACCAGCAGGACAGCTGAGGCACATGTGCTATAGTGAGAACAGGGGGGTTCAGGTGGAGGGCAGCAGACCGTGGGACCCCTGCCATAAGGATTATTTTAGGCAGATTAAGAAATAGCAGACACTGGAGCAGCTCTGAAAACCGAGTACAAGTTGCCCTTTCGGAAGAGCCATTCGTAAGATAAATCTCCATTTGTAAGAGCGTGTTCTTCTCAGTAGCAGGAAAAGGATAATAATCTCTAGAAATTTGTCAAAGGAGAAGGTATGGACTTAAATCTATATAACACCCTTACCACATTTATAGTCCTTTTTCTGGTAATCTCCCCACACTCATCCCCTGCCCACCATCCCAACATCTTTCTTTTATTTTTAGCTAAAAATAGTACTTTAAGGTGGTGGCTTGAGCCATTCTGGGGAACTACTCCATTTTTCTGGGTCTCTTCCATGTATATAGAGGGTATCCATGTTCTTGAACTTCTGTTTTTCTCCTGTTAATCTGTCTTTTATTATAAAAGTATCTCAGCCAGGAACCTAGAAGGGTAGAGGGAAAATTATTTTTCCTCCCCTATAATCATAAGAAAGCCTGCATATTGGGACAAAGATATTCCCAGGCTCCTTCCTTCATTCTGGATCCTAGAATGGGCCAGGTTTACGCCCTCCAGGCAGGGGGTCAAATTTCCCAACAAGCTCAAGAGAAAAGACTCAAAGACTTAGATAGTCAGGGAGACCCTCCCCCAACAAAATGGTCCAAGAAGGGTAGCCTACACTGAAGTCCACCAGTCAACAGGCTCCACTTGCTGCCAGGTGAACTGGGGAGACCCTGGGCTCTTGATCCAGCCCATCCCAAAGATGTCCCGGAATGCTCTTGGCTTCAACATGAAGAATTCAAGGACAGACACACAACACAGTGGATAAGCAACACAAGTGGGAAAGTTTATTAAACCAAAAGTACCCACTCAAGGGGCACCTGGCCAGCTCAGTTGGTGCAGCAGGAAGCTCTTGATTTCAGGGTTATGAGTTCAAGCCCCACAAAGAGATTACTTAAAACATAAAATCTTTAAATAAACAAAACAAGGGGCACCTGGGTGGCTCAGTGGGTTAAAGCTTCTGCCTTCGGCTCAGGTCATGATCCCAGGGTCCTGGGATCAAGCCCCACATCGGGCTCTCTGCTCCGCAGGGAGCCTGCTTCCTCCTCTCTCTCTCTGCCTGCCTCTCTGCCTACTTGTGATCTCTGTCTGTCAAATAAATAAATAAAATCTTTAAAAAAAATAAAAATAACAAAACAAAACAAAACAAAAACAAAGTACACTTGTAAGATAAGAGTAGATAAGCTTAAGAGAGAGCGAGCTGTGTGCAGGGGTTTGGGGTTCTACCTTTTATGTGCAGTTGTTAAAAAGAGAGAATAATATTCATTATTTGGTGTGGGGAAGCAGGGTTTCCGGTCGTGGTGCCGCCATCTTGGGCCTGTCTGGTGGGATCCAGCTTCTTGCAGATGGTGCCAGGACGGGACTCTGACCTTCCCCACAGCTGGCCGTGGCCTCCTCCTTGCTGGCCTCTGGGGATCCCGTTAGAGCCTCACTGCCTCTAAGACACCACCTTCCAAGCTCACTAGTGTTCTATTTCATTTCAAAGAAAAGAGCAAAATACTGTTGCGCCATCAAACAAGCGTAACAGGAAAATGTGATGGCAGGAGTATAAAATCCAAGGTTGGAAGTTATAGCTGAGGAAATCTCCCAGATGGTGAGGATCGGGGGCAGGTAACAGAAAGAATGAGAAAACAAGAGACAAAAGATAAAAACAAAACAAAACAAAAGCTAGTGGATTCATAGAGGAAACACGTAAGTTGCATAATGGATGTTTTAAGAAAAAGAATATAGAGAAAAAAGAAGGGAAGACATTATGAAAAAAATAATTCAAGAAAAATTCCAGAACCAAAGCACACGAATTTTCCAGTTGAAATGGCTCATTAGTGCCTAGCAAATGGATTCAAAACAAAACAAAACTAAACAAAACAAAACCTACCCAGAGTCAATCATCATAAGTTTCTGGGAACAAAGAGAAAATCCCAAATGCTTCCAGAAAAGAGTAAACACAAAAACAAGTAAGAAAGGATCCAGGCTCATGATGACAACAGATTTGTTCGGGCCAAGGGCAGCCTGCCTCAAGATGGGCTGCTTTGGGATGAAGATTATTTTGAATGAAAAAGTCATCAAAATCCAGCCGATTCAGGAAAAGCTCCTTCCATCTCCCTCGACAGCCTAAAAGAATTTAGACAGAGGAGCTGGTCCAGGGAAAGAGCTGTCGGCTTCGAGAACTACACTGTGCCATGAACCAGGAGTGGTAGACGAGGGAGGACCCTAGCAAGGCCTGTTGGATTAAGGTCCTCAGTGTCCCACTGTCTGAGTGGCCCAGAAGACGTCTGTGTACCAAACATTCACTCTCCTGAGAATTGCATTCCTTCCCGTTGAAGTCCCAGACCCCTGTCCCTTTAGCCCCATCTCTTTAGCTCAAAACGACATATATGCCTCATGTGGCCTGACCGTCTTTGGCATTTCCCCTCTGTGAGGCTTCCCTGTACATACACTATGATATTTGATTCTCTCCTGTTAATCTTTCTTTTGTCAATTTGATTCTTAGTCCAGCTAGAAGGATCTTGAAGAGGACAGGGTATCCTTGCTCCCCGACAGACAGATTCTAACAGTAACACTAGAAGCTAGAAGAGAATGGGACCAGGTTTTGAAAACTCTTTGGCAAGATGGATTCAATCTAGAATTCTGTATGTAGTCACACTGTTGATCAAAACGAAAGACGGATCTATGAGTGTCCCAAGGTGCCCTTCTCAGGAGACAACCAGAGGAGGCCATCCACCAAAACGAGGGAGTCAGGAAAGGAAGGAGAAGACACAGGCCAAAGGAAACAGGAAAAGGACACAAGTATGCGCCCAGGGGAAGCCCCCAGCAGACCAAGATGGGAGGTGGCAGGGGACAGCAGGAACTGCTCCCAGATGCCACACAGAGTTGGTCAGGCATCAGTCAAGGAAGTGTATCTGTCTGTCCCAGGAAATGACATGGAGAATACCTGAGCAAATGCAGAGGACGTTTATAATTTTCTTGGAGATGTATGGGAATGGCAGAGACAGGACTACGGAAAAGTCAGCAACTGCAAAGGGGATGATTATTAACTGTAGGGAACATAAAAAACCACGAAGGAGAGCAGACCCGAAGATGGTGTAACTCAGCTGTGCGTATTCACATGGAAGAGAGAGAGAGAGAGAGTGTGTATGTGAGTGTGTGTGTGTGTGTGTGTGTGTGTGTGTGTGTGTGTGGTGGGCAGTCGGGTCCAGGGTATCAGAGCTAAATTGTCATCCTCTATGGTGAGGAGCTAACAGTCGTGCTTGCTACCTAAAACTGAAAAAAACAGGAAATAGCAAAAAACGTTATTAAAAAATATGGAAGTACAAATAAAAAATAAGCAGCGAAAGGTGTAGGAATTATTTGCCTCTGGGGAATAGGGAGTGGGGAAAGAAACAATGGGGTTCCTTTGTTTTTTTCTTTTTTCTTTTTTTTTTTTTTCCTTTTTGGGGAGAGCCTTGTAGAACATCTGGTATTTTAAACTAAGAGCATTTCTAACTTTGATTTGCAAACATTCTTCATACAGCTTGCAGATTCTACCCGTGCCTAGCCCTTTACATATCAAACTGACAGTCTGTTTTTATACAACAAAGAGACATAAAAAAAAAATCAAAACTTCTAGTAGATTCCACCATTTGATGAAAATTGATCTCTATTTCTGTCTACTTGTGCACTGCAACATACTCCCAAAGCAGTATCTTTGTAGAAAGTAGATTTTTATACCTTCTAAAAACATGCCTAACTTTCCTCCAGAGCCCATCACAGAAGAAGGCACCATAAGGAAGCAGGAAACCACACGGGGGCGGGTGGAAACGGCTCAGATCAGGAGTGCGTACACCTCTCCACCAACAACATATCACCTTCTGAAGTTTGGGAGGCGGTGAGCCTGCAACCGTGTCTGTGGTTTGTAGGGATACAGGGCAAGACAGTCTGAATTCATCCCACCAACTGTGACCGAAGGCAGACTGTAAATTACAGGCAGGGTCAGACACTCAAGTTACAATGAACAGGAAGGCCTGGGGGACGCTTCCAAAGAACAGCCATTCTCTGGGGATGGATGACTTGAGAGCCCATCCTGAAAAAGGACTCTCCCATTCTGTTCTGTTTAGGTTGGCAGGTCGGGACTGCCTGAGTCTTTTACACTGAGAATGCATCCGTCCATTCCTTGTACCGTAAAAAAATTTAAAACAGAAGAAACGCTCAGAGGATTGTGTGCACTCTAACAGATGGGTGCAGGGGATTAAAAAAAAAAAAGCTTTGAGTCAGTGGCAGAGAAAGAGCAATTAATCTGGGGGGTGGGGATGGAGCCATCCCGAGACAACTTCAGAGAATGAATGACATCGAGGTTGGTTCGAGAAGAATGGAGCTGGGAATCTTCGTGGCTTAGGATGCCACAATTCAAGGCCAGGGTCAAAGAAGACAAATAAGCAGGTCCTGAAGCTTCTAATGTGCAGTAAACTCTACTGGCATGGACATAAAAACTCCACTCATTTCCACCTCACCATCTGCTGAGGCCACCCACAGACTGGCCCGGTGTCTTCCCTCCCTGTGTGGGCCCCCACCCCGCCAGCCTCAGCTTCCTGCTGTGGGCACGAGGCGCTCCCGAACTGGGTGTCTCCATGGGATGAATATGTCACAGACACAAGTCCATGGTAAGAGTGTGTCTGGGGACAGGTCTGCATTTGGGTTGGGGATTAAAGAACTCGGAATGAATCCTGCTTACGGCTGGAAGCGTTCCAGGTTAAACCGCTGTCAGCAGAAGTTCCTAAAAGGCGTGTTTTTTAAGGAAACAGCACTTAAGAATAAGAAAATGAGACAATTTCCTTGGACGCTGCCTGTTGAAGCCCCCCATGCACTAAACTCTGAGTCAGGAGAGTTTAGAAATAAGTGACGTCAGCTGCTGAAGTTCACCACCCTGACATAGAGTCATCCAGGCGCCGGTGGTAAAGACCTTAAAGACAGCCCGTGTGTTCTGTGGTCTGTTTTAGAACAGTATGACGGTTCTCCAACTTCAGCATGCCTCAGTTTACCCTGGAAGGGTTAGAAAATTACAGACTGCTGGGCCCCATATCCAGAGTCTCGGATTCAGTGCATCTGGGGTGGAGGCCTGAGAATCTGCCTTTCTAGTAAGTTCCCGGTGGACAGTGAGATTGCTGGACCTGAGATCACGTTTTGTAAACCATCAGAAGAGTCAATCCCACGTCATATAAATAAGATAAACAAGCCCTGGCATGGTGAATTTAATGGCAAGTTAATAATTTAAATGTGCATTAGGAAGTATTATTAGTGGAATGACTCTGAACTCACTTGGAATCCATTTTGGTCACCTTCTTGGTGAAAAATTCATCCACACCTTCGTCCACTCTTCCCATAAGGCCGTTCTGCTCACCATCTTGGGGGACGATGCTGGCAGCGCAGACCTGCAAGTCAAACACGGGGAATGGTCATTCAGGCCGCGTCACTTGTCAAACATCACAGTCCCGTTCCAGGCACGGCGATGAGGGCCGCGGGAAGGACGAGATCGGCTAAGTAAGGGCCCCGACGGTCTACAGGAGGGGAAGTCCTGTGTCAAACTGTGATGAGGGCAGGAACAAAAGCGAGGCGTGCACTATTAAGGCACAGTTTCGTGGGGCTGGCTGTCCCAGGCAGTGAGGTGCCCAGTGCCCCTAGAGACGGAGAAAGGCATTGCAGGTGCTGGTAAGGGAAGAGAAAATGCACAAGGGAAAGGAAACAGGGCTAGGTTCTGAGACTGGAGAACACTGGGTGGACAGGAGCCAGTAGTGTGTGGGTGGGATTAATGGCTCAGTACAAACCCTGGCAGATACTAACATGGGCCACTGCAACCAACCCCCCCCCACTTCCTTTCTTTCTGGCGGGAAGAACTCTGATTTCAAGGTGTAAATACTTACTTGTATGAACCAAATACCATAATTCTACCTCCTTGCCCACGATCGGTAGCTAAGGCGTATGATATAATTCCGATCAGTGAGATGTAAGGCAAAACTGCTAGGGGCTCATGAGCAGGTTTTCCTGCAGAGGAAGGAATGTATGTTTTCCTGCATGTTTATATCCGGGAGGATGTGATGTCGGAGCCACAGCAGCCCCATGGGGTTCAAGAGAAGGCAAGCCTGAGGACAAAAGCCATGTCTTGGACGACAGAGCAGAAGGACAGAAAGGGCAGAAAACACCTGAGTGTTTGTGCTTTGCTGCTGAATAAACCAGTCTTTGGTCCTGAAAATTTTGGATTTCTTGGCAGTATCTCTCACTATTTAGGTCATGTTTAGTTGTGTATCTCTTGTTATCTCTACTGAATGAATACTTCCCAATTAATGACACAAGGACCTATGGTGAATAGTCTTGAATCTTACGCTGAAGAATGTGGAATTTACTTTGCAGGTGATAGGGAAACCACAAAAGAAGGGCATGACCAAACCTGAACTCTGTTCAGATAATTCTAGGGCAGCATGAAGGGCACACTGGAGAAGCCCGGGAATGTATGTAGGCGAATCTGTTCAGGAACACAAAAGAAAGATTCCTGGAAGAGTCTAGTCTAATCTGGAGGAGATGAGGAGCAAATTAAGGGCTTGAGAACTGAGAAAGGAGGTGCCTCAGATGAAGTTGAAGTTTCTAGGCTAGGTGAACGGGAGCCTTGTTCGAGGGAACATAGTTCAAAGACCAGATCTGGAGCAAGAAATGATGAGTCCAATTTCTGATGAGCATTTGAGGTGCTGTGGGAAACCCAGGGGCAGGCACCCAGCAGACACTTAAAAGCTTGGGTCTCAGGAGAGACGGCGTAAGGAAATCATTTATCAAGTCAGCATTGCTCCTTGAATGGACAACTCACAGTGAGCATCACCACCGGTCTGATCTGTGTCCGCAATGGTGTATTAAGTTAATATTTCACACCAATAGGTTGTGGGCCCTTGAAAAAGAGGGCATAGGTTGCCCATTCCTTTGGGCACAAGAACAGATTCTCCTGTGGTTGAGATTTCTGGTCTGAATGTCTTGCCACAGTGTGGTCGGGGGGAGGCTCTCTGTAATCTTGATTTGCAAGTGTCAGGCTACCTCTGGGGGAATCTGGCTCCTGTCCGAGTCTGCATACATACTGTTTAACGAAAGAGCCAATCACATGCAATCATCCACTTCACTCACTGGGAAATCTCCATTACAAAAATGAGCTACGTGTCTGAGTTCATGTTTGTGAAATGCTGAAAAGCGAGCAGATAACAGATCACAGACAAAAGAACTCCCATGAAATGCGAATAATAACTGATATGTCTCATCTGAATGGTGCTTCTATTGGAGCAAGGCTTTCCTACACAGTAGAATAGAGCAGAGAATCAGCAAAGTTCTCTATAACTCAATTAGGGCGAGAAAGCAGCTCTCTGAGTCTCTTTTACCACAGAAGATAAAGTAGCACAGAACTTGCTTGTGTTAGCATTTCTCCTGTGAAAGAATGGAGACTGGGATCTCTCTGGTAATGATGGCGCCCCGTGTGTGCTGAATGCTTGATCGTTTGCACAAGTGTCTCGCATGTTATGATTTCACGTACCCATCTACTCTTTGCACTGAAAAGGAAAGGTTAGTTTCATCTTAGTTTTTGATTAGTCACAGATCAAACAGTGCCTCAGAGAGTGGGAGGCACCCACACGGGTCCCGATTGAAGGACGAGAAGGATTATGAGCCCAGGACATACGGTCCTAACACGAGGCTTCCTTCCAATGGACCCATGACTCCCTTCAGAGGCTCCCTCTCAAATTCTTCTTCTTATTTTGAGAAAGAGGAAAAAAAACGATTTTTTTACTAGCATATATTTTTCCTTTAAGCCCTTTCCTTTCTTCTTGCTTTGAAATGGAATGCAGAGCGAGCACAAAAGGTTCTCAGGGGTCAGGGAGAACTTCAGTGGGTTTCAGAGATGGAAGCAGACAGGGCTCAACAAATCAGTCCGCTTTCCTGCATGACGGGCCAGCTCTCAGGGCTGGACGGACCTTGAGGCTGATCCCTCCCAGTCTAACCCTGTCACTTTAGAGAGAAAGACGCTGAGAGCAGAGAGGTGATGGGAAGTCCAGAGTCACTGGGAGATCCTCAGTGAGATGCAGTTTAAAATGTATCCATTAGAATTGGAAGGGGGAGGTGTCAGCAGCTTGTACGGAGAGCAGCAAAAATATTGAACACAAGAATGAAACCGTTTGTCAGAACAGTTCAAGGCTAAACACACACGCCGTTTGAGCTCAGTTGCTAGCAAAAGGAAAGGAAAGGACACAGAAACATCATAAGTTCCCTGAATCCCACTGGGCTTTGGTCTTTCTGTCAAGGAGCATACATTTCAGACTAAAACGTACAGCATCATTACTGGAAGGGGAGAGCAGAAATCCTATCCCTCAGTCAGCTGGAATGGATGCATGCAAAGAAAGGTTTTTGCAAAGAAAACGGACATCGGAGTGGCTGTTGCGGTATCTGACAAATCGAAAAAGTCGATTTTGCACTTTGGTGTATGAATACATGCTAAAAGGATAATTTGCGAATGCTGAGAAGATGAGCCAGTGATTATGAGGACTAATCACACTTCAGACCACCCTCTGGCAGGCTTATGAACATGAACGCACCAAGGAAACACTGTGGGTGGTGCACCTGGTTTCCGATGAGGCAGCTGCCAAACCTCTCCTAATGTCTCCAGAGGCCGCATGGAGAGAGATGGGCAGGGAGGAAGGACAATTAGTATATTATTAGTAACTCTGAACTCATACACCCAAGCAGTGCTAATGAGAGAGCTGAATGATCATGGAATCTTACACGCATACATTACGGTAAGAATCACGGAGAAGACAGAGTGAAGGAATTAAGTCACGAAAAATGTAACTGCGAGGATGTAAAGTGAAGGAAATATAATAAAGGGACAAAAATTGATGAAATTGAGAGGATGAAAAAAACCAAAGCTGATTCTTCCGGTGGGGGAGGGGGGAAGGAAAAGAGTAATAAAAGAGACAACCGTGCAAAATGAGGAGAGAGGCCAAATAGATCAGAAAGGGGAAAAATGGGACACAGCTACAGTTCAGGAGATTAAAAAGTTATAAGAATGTTATAAACAACTAAATGAACAATTATACTAAGTGGATGACATCCTAGAAAAACACTGATGGCCAAGGTGGTCTCAGGAAGAATTAGGTAATCTGATTAGATCTGTAACAAAAGAAAGCAAATCCCTACAAGAGGAATCTATGTATAGGCATCACCAGCACACACACATCAGCCCTGACGGCTTCCCAGGGGAGGAGCAGAAAATCTCCATTGGATACAGACAGTTTTGGAGAAGAGGAAAAGAGAGCTTCTGAACTAATTTATGAAGATAGTAAAATTCTGAAACCCAAGTAGAGGGATGGTCTAGATAAGAATAAGAAAAACTATAGGTCTCTCTTATTTATGTACATAGATTAACCCCCCCCAAATATGGTAAACAAAACCCAGCAGTATATTAAAACAAAGCAAGGATATATACCTGAAAATAGTACAACACAGTATGTTAATTATACTAGAATTAAAAAAATAATCAAGGGTATCACGATTATTATCAAGAGTGGTATACCTTTAGGAAGGTCCATTATTGTGATTCACCACAACAGCAAAACAAAAGAGAAAAATGATTAATTTCCAGAAAAATAAATGATTAATTTCCAGAAATACTGAAGGAAGAAACCAATCAAAATTAAACCATCATTCACTGAAAAAAAAAATTAGCAAACTAGGAAGGAAACTTTCTCAACTGAGTAAGGAACAGCAGAAACTGCCTCATGCCTACCCAGTCTCAGTATCAAATCCTGACTTATTTGGCATATCCATCAGACCAAGTGAAACACATTATCTTCTCAGATGCTCTTGCACCTGTGGCTGGAAATATGGCTCATTTCTGGACAGTGAGATGTAAGAGCAAGTATACTAGCACTTCTGGGTAAGCTCACATTTCCCGATGCATGTGCCCCCTTTTTTCTCTGTCTGCAATACGCTTATAAATACAGAAGACTACAGGTCTTGAGAGTGACTGCTACCAGTTACCAAGATGACACAGCTATGAAAAAGTGAATACATCCACTCTCACCACTTTTACTCATCATAGTACTGGAAGACCTAGCCATAGCAATCAGACAAGAAAAAGAAATACTTTCACTAAACATGACACTACGTATAGGAAAAAACCCAGAAGACGCCACCAAAAAATTACCAGTACTAATAAGTGAATTCAGTAAGGTCACAGGACCTTTAATTAATATGCAGAAAAACACTGCATTTCTATACAGGAATAATAAAGTAGCAAAAAGAGAAATTAAAGAAAGAGTGTCATTTATAATTGCAACAAAAAGAATAAAATACCTAGGAATAAACTTAGCCAATGAGGTGAAAGAACTGTACTCTGAAAACTGTAAAACGTTGATGAAAGAAACTGAAGATGACACAAAAATATGGAAAATATGCTAAGTTATTCTGTGCTCATGGACTGAAAAAACAAATATTGTTAAAATGCCCATACTATATCCAAGAGCGATCTTCAGACTTAATGCAGTTCCTATCAAAATGGCATTTTTCACAGAACGAATTAAATAATCCTAAAATTTGAATGGAATCAGAAAAGAACATAGATAGCCAAAGCATCTTCAAAAAGAACAAAACTGGAGGTATCACATACCCAGATTTCAAGCTATACCACAAAGCCATAATGATCAGAACAGTATGGTATTGGCACAAAAACAGACTTATAGATCACTGAAACAGAATGGACAGCTCAGAAATAAACCCATGATTATATGGCCAATTAATCTTTAACAAAGGACGCATAAATAAGCAATGTGAAAAAGACAATTTCTTCTTAACAAATGGTGTTGGGAAATCTGGACAGCTACATACAAAAGAATAAAACTGGACCCCTTTCTTATACCATACATACAAGTGAACTCAAAATGCATTAAGAACCTGAATGTGAAACTAGAAACTACAAAAATCCATAAATCCAAGGATAATAAACCGCATTCTTTCCTACACGGAGCTTACAGACAGAGTGTGCTTAGAGAACACTATGCCAAGAGCTATAAAAACAGCTAGAATAGCTATAAGCAGCAGGCACTGGAGAAGCCAAGGCCTCCATGGAGGGTTGTTCAGGCGGTGCACTGTGCACAACCAGTCTGTGAAAATGACCTCCCCTGAAGTCATGTAAACACAGACCTATGGGAGGACAGAGATAGACACAGGGACGGCTTTCTGGAATGCTGAGACAAGTGGAGATCTGAAAGATAAGTGGTTATCATCCCAGGAAGTGTGTGGAGTACAGAGGGCAAGTGATGAGAAAATGGCTACAGCTCTAGAGGACTGACACCCAGGATGGGAAGCAGCAATGTCAGGGATGACAAGGAGGAAAGTGGACAGCAGATCAGGGTCAGCAGTGGGGACCTGGTGTTCAGGGTCAACTGTGATGCTCCGTGGGGGACAGGGGCTATGAGAGGAACACAGGTTTGCAGAGAGAGAGGCTCCCAGTTCTGAATGTGTGGATCCCCAGGGGCTCTGGGACACAAGTCCAGGAGGCAGGTGAACACCCAAACCCAGAGTGGAGCAGACACAACAGAAATCAACAAGTGGCAACCATGGGCTCTGACAATGGGGCCCGGGCAGCAAATAACACAGTTGGAGCCGTCATGTCCATGCGGGGCCAGGTGCCTGGGCCAATCTCCAGCCTCCCCCCTGCAAGGGAAAGGGTGAGGGGGAGAAGGGGGCCCCTCCTGGCCACCTACCGCCGCCTGGGTGGGCTGCTGCTTCTTATTCCGTTTTGGCCTTAACTTGGTAAAGTGCTCCAGCTTCTTCCCCTCCTCGGAAGGCAGCTCGGAGATCAGCCCGGAGCTCCGCTTCTCTGGTCGGAAGGACGGGAAAGGCGGGTCTTCGATGTGAATGGGCACCTCCTCCAGCGCCTTATCGAGGTCAAACTCCATCTCTGAGATAAAGCAGAGTCCTGGGCTGACACTTACTGCAGACGAATGCGCAATACAGAATTCCTCAAAGGGACTCTAAGTGTATCACGGAACAGCAAGTGCGCTCCTGGTCCCCATCTGTTCATACAGAGCATCCCTGGGAGGCATCCCTGAGGTGGTCAGAGGTCCCTGCTGCGGGTGTGTCACAGTCCCAGGGAAATGGCGGGCATTCATTAATGACTCACCGAAGGCTCTGGAAACGGGTCGCAGCATCCGGCTATGGATACTCTTCCGTTTGGATTTAGGAGTCATCTAGCAATGAAACAAAGAAAGCACTTAGGTACTCACAGAAAACTTGCCTTTCAAACTTCAGAAACCTCCTGGGGGGTGGAGGGAGGGGTGGCTGCAGAAACATCTGGGATCAAATGTGACACTCAGTATTTGTTTCCCTTCTTTCGAGGATGGTTGGTCACATCTGACAGCCTGCCTGGAAAGACTGAGCCCACACATTTCTCAGTGTTTACAGTGCTCTCAACCCAGACAGCCCCCTGCTTGCTTCTTGCCTCCAGCTACCTTCAGTTACATTCTATCAGTTGCATTCTATGTATATGAAGATTTACATTCATCAGTTACATTCTATTTATATGGCGGAAAGGAACGATGAATGATACAGAATATAATTCCAAGCTGCACATGAGGATATTAAAATGGATATAAAAAACCAGATTAAAAGATTGTAAACAGCAGGTGCTAACAACTGAAACTGCCAACTATTCACTGTTCGTTACCACCTGCACATCAGGGATGTAAGGCAACCCCCAACTCTTCATCCCTTTAAGGGTTTCAGCCCTTGTAACTGTTTTGTTTCATACTTCTGCCACCAAGATTTTGAGGTTTACATTATGGGAAAAGGCTAACTAGGGAAAAACTGCTATGACTTAGGAGTCTGTATCTGCTGTCACTTCTCAGGAAGAGTCTTTGATCCTGTTAGTCTTTTAAAAATGAGATCAAACCCCAAATCACCAAACATCTTAAGCACTGGTGCCAATCTTGATGACGCAAAGCCAAATCTAAGGGGGGTATTAGCTTCTCCCGCAGCAGAACTCCAACTGTGAAAGTGGGAGGTGGCCTCAGTTGTCATCCAGAGAAACAAATTTGAAGGAAGAAGTTGAGTCACAGAGATGACAAGGGCTCGTACTGGAGCTGGCATTAGGAGCAGCACCGGGGACAGAGCGATTGTGAGGATGGCCCAGCATCCCTCAAAACTGTACACTTCGTAATTGATACACAGATGAATGGATCTGCGGGATGTTTTAATTGGTCTGATTCTGGAAACTAGTATTGTCTAAACTAAGAGACAAGACAACTTACTTGGTAGTCTTTCATTTAATAGGGGGTCATGTAAGGCTTTCTCAAAAAACATCCACACACATGACAAACTCTCTTTGGTTCAAGGAATGAATTGGTTCACACTGATTTTTAAAGCAAACTACTTTACAGTTCTTACAATTTTATTCCAGATTTAACAACAGTTAAATCTTTGCTGTTATTTACTATTGAGAGAAAAGGGAGAGAAAAGATGAGCAATCGTATTTAAATTCAGGCTGGTCTTCTGGAGACACTCAGTGAAAACTTGATTTGGTTCTTTCAAGGTTTTGTTAAAGGCAGACGATCTAAAGATTACCTATCTGTAAAGCAATAGGTCTCGTGGGTTCAGTAAAAATGGCGTCAACCCAATGCAACTGGAAAGGGACCCAGATTCCAGGTTGTTCTCCCCGCAAAATGGCCCTGCCATCCACCGAACAAGGTAGTGGACTGACTGGTCTCTCCATAGGTGAAACTTCTAAAAATAATTGATTTTCAGGGGACACAAACTCCAGAAATATACACTACATTTAATGAAAATGTCTTTAGCATTCCATCCCCTTTGCACAACCATGAAGGAGCAAGCAGCAGCTGGGGATATAATTTCCAGCCAATTCATTTAGACAGCCACAAATAAATAAGAAAGAGGCTTAAAAGTGCATGGAATGAAGATGTCTTCCAACATTTTTTCCTGTGACTCCTGATTAGATTTTATAGAAAGAGTGTTCATGGGCAAAAATAATCTAGCTCAAGTTTCCCTGGTGTAAGAACTGGTGTAAGAATGCAACTCGATTTTAGACATTTCTTTTGGTGCACGAACAGTGTCATGCTCTCTTATGGTTTAAGTATAACAATGGGGGTGGGGCGTAAATTTCATTTCACTCCTATTTTTCTTTCCTTTCTTTCGAATTGTTTCTTCCTTAACAGTTATAGAGGAAAAAACTGAATTTGCTCACTCTTTACTGGCTCACTCCTATGTACCCACTACATATAAATCTAAACCAAGAGGAAATATAACAATGAGCTACCATTTTCTACCCAAGTATATATTTAGGAACAAATATTCTCTGTTTCTCCAGAAATCTGGTTTAGATGCACTCTTCTCACCCTTCTCACACCTGCTGATCAGATGAGTTGCAACCTGGCAGGGAAAAAAATCTAGCTTTACCAGCCTCTTCAGAGCTGTTAGTGCTCTTACATCAAAATAAAGGGCTAATTTTCTCAGACTGTTTCCTAGTCTTCATTTCCTGCCCTGGACATTTGTCAATGAGTATTTACTGACAGGAGAGTCATAAAGTGCCCCTCAGATAGAGGGTCAGAGCCCGAAGAAGAGGTACACACACCAAAGGACGCTTCACACATCAATTCATGGTTAACTATTATTTTAGGCCTAGACAAAATTACTTGAAAAATGCATTTTGTAATAAATTATTATCAATATTCACATACTTGGGAAAGAAGAGGAACAGTGTGTTAAAGCCTTTACAAAGTAACTTCAGAAGGAAAACCCCACACGTAAGACTTCTTTCTCATCCCAACATCACCATGGCCAACTGAGGACGAAAGGCAGGGCCCTATTCTCTAGGAATCAAAAGCAATACAATGTCTACATTGCTCAGAAATCTCACTCATTTCATTTGGTTTTTATAATGAAATTGAGATGATCTGTATGTCACTCACGTGATAGGACTACTTTAACACTTTAACAACTTATGTTGGAGTCTGACGAACAACACTTTTTTCCTGTTAAACTCACTTTTAACACGTAATTCCTGGACACATTTTTTTTTTTAAGTGAGTGAAATTGTTTCTATTACCACAAAAATAGGATGGAGAAGCTGCCTTGTTCGTTTTATCAAGTTCGTGCAAAGAATAATAACACTCTCACTTTGGGCTCAAGAATCCCTGATTTTCTTTTCCCTGAGGTTAAAACAAACAAACAAAAAAAGAACAAAACAAAAACACAGTTGGTTTAAAAAAACAAAAAACAGTTGGGAAATGAATTGGGAGAATTCTTCTGCTACAAGAAGCAAGTCATGATGCCAACTTTCCACATCCCTGGGAAGCAAGAATCAGGAAAAACCAAACCAAACAGAACCCAGATATTTGAGTGAGCTTTTTTTTTTTTTTTTTTTTTTACACAAAGGGAAAAACCACTTCTCCCCTCTTGAAGGCTGATACACTCTTCATCAACATTCTGCTGGCTTTCAGGCAGAGCTAGATCTTTTCAATTCATTGCCTGTTTTGCTGCTGAACCGCTTGTAAAATGCAACCTTGTCTCGAGGTTGCTGCCCGTTTCACGCAGGATCTGCAGACGGGCGACCACACTCAGCCTCCGGGGAGAGCAGCCGGGCAGCGCAGAAGCAGATGGAGCACGAGAACGCAAACCAGAACAGCCAGAAACTGCAGAGCCACCGAGAAATACTTACACTTGTACAGCAGAGAGTCTCCATGCAGCAAAAAGGAAGGAAAAAAAGATGAATGGGAGAGAGATAAAGCAACAGCATTACAGGAGAAAGGGAGGGAGAGACACGGTTCACAAACAAACAGAGAAGCCCCATAAACAGCTTTCACAGCAAAGGAATAAGGCAAGAATGAGGCCACAGTTATTGGCTTAATGCGTCCATTCTAGCTCTGGGTAAGCAGCCGCACAGTTGCACAGTTACAGCTTGAAAACAGCACGAACTCTTAGAGACGTGACCTCTTTTGTTACATGCACACAGAATGCCGCCTACAAACCCCAGAAGGTAGGGGACCCCATTTGGGAAACGGAGACGTCATCAGCTCCAAAGGCGCATGGTAGACAGAACACTGGACAGACACTGGGAAACTCCATGCAGGTTTTGGTTCTTGGGCCAAACTGCTAGACCCAGAAACAACATGGGGACAGGGTGTCTCCAGGCTTGTAGAAACGTCCCTTCTGGGGATCCTTCTCTATCATCTGATGCTCCCCACTGTGCTTTAGGATGAAGGAGTTTTGCATCGTCTCTCCCCCTCAGTCACCAAAGCTTTTCAGGAATGGAGCTGATGCCAGGTTCTAGAAAGCTACCTACCCACAGTGTTATCAATGGTGATGATCCCTTATGCCTTATATTTGACATTCGGTCTCAATTAAACGATCTTTTAAACCCCACTGATCACCAGCAGTTGTTAGGTCATCTTCTTAATGCTGCAAATTTGTAAGAATTTTTAAAAACAACCAAAACACAAGTCCAGTTATAGAACATCAGGCTTTATGAAAGCAAAATACTTGGTGGGGGAGGGGGGCCAAGAGAGTCTTTTCCAAATTTCCTGAAAACACACCCTGACGAAGGCTATCTATTCCATCCATCTGGGGCTGACTCTTTTTCAAGTTCCTTATTTTTTCTGTGGCACTTTTTCTCAAAGCACAACACAATGAAATCATGGTGCCCTGCAATCTGAGAATGTGAGTGGGCTGGGTCTCTTTAGGGACAATGGTGGCACAGGGGCATCTGGGTGGCTCAGTCAAGTGAGGATTTGAGGCTCCGGTCATGATCTCAGAGTCATGGGATGGAGCCCTGTGGCAGGTTCCACACTCAGTACAGAGTCTTGGGATTCTCCCTCTCCCTCTGCCCCTCCCCCTGATCTCACATGTGTACTATAAAGAAATTAAAAAAAAAAAAAAAGGTGGCACACCAGAGGCCTTCCCCATAACCATCGCCAACATTCACCATTATCATCAGCATATTATCTGCTTATCAGAAAGGCTTCCATCAGCAACATGCCAGAAAAGCCTCAGTCTCCAGACTCATTTCATATTTTATTAGGTAATTTTCTTCAAACAGATCTCATTTTAGGATTCATTAAATTAGATTGAAACAGCCTTGCTAGATGGAAGGAGGAAAAGTAAAAATACATTTTCACATATTATTGAATTGCCTGAAATAAAGACTCCTGCTCCACTTTTTAAACACACATCCCCTCGG